ATCCTCGGGTAAGCGAATTCTTTCGAAATTTTTGCTGAACTAAAAAAAAATACTGATTAGCTATCTCTAATATCCAATTTCAACACTATTAAAACTATTAAAATGGCAAACATGAATGTTTAAAGCAAAGTAGTAGGGAAACTGTTGACCATTTTTGTATCGATATAGAGTAAATGTTGTAATCTGTCGCAGTTAAATAGGATAAATTTTCATCCCACATAATTTTGCTTGTTCACTTTTCATGCTTATTTCAGGTTCATGGTATGTTCTGGGAAATTTGGAAAGAATTTGAAGTGAAGCATGGTAATGAGGATACGGTAAGGGAGATGTTGCGTATAAAAAGATCTGTACAAGCAACTTACAACACAAACGTCAATATCATGAGTGCACAGATGTTGTCCACAGTAGCGGGTGCATCCGCAGGCACAATTATCCATGAACGTGGGTTCACTTATTAATTTTTTTCTTATATCGTATCTCAGTTTCTGGGGTTTTTATCTCCATGTATTCTGTGTATGATTTTGACGAGAACTTTTTGTTTTCAGTATGCGTTTTTCGTTTTTCCTTTTGAATTTTAAATTTTAATTTTAGCAAGCACGGCTGGTGATAGCATGGCAATGCTTGAAGCTCGTGCTCAGAAAATCGCCGAAGAAGAAACAGGTGTAGCGAAGTTGGCAATAGGCGGTACAGGTATCAAATTTGTACGAGGAGCTGTCAATATGATCGAATCAAATGTCACAGAAAATCCAGAGGAAATTGATATCGGCGATGATGAGGGTGATGACGAGCAAAAAAATTTGGATGGTAAGCTCTTATATAGTTTAAAACTCGACATGGGAATATATTTTGAGAAATGTCAAACAACTAAGTACATGGTAGTTGATTTATTTAGTCAGCAATTTTGTGACTTTTCCATGATTGTATTGGCTGCTTTTTTAAAACAAATTTAAAACGGAATCGCTGTATGGAGCATTCATTAACAAATTATGCTGCACAGAATGAAAATTGTTGTACTCAATCTGATAATTTTAGATGTGGAAACGAAGGCTGTACCGGCAGGTGTTTTGGGTTCACTTGTAAAACAAAATGATCAATAAATTTGCAAAAAATTGTTTTCATCATTTCATTTACTGTTTATTGTTGCATATTTTGCAATAGGCTGCAGTGATAATAGTTATTATTATTTAAAATTGTTAAAGCTATGAATCATTTCAGAAAGTAATATATGTCTAGTTCTTCTGAAATTAGATTATGGTATTAATTTTTGGCACCAAATGCAATCTGTGATTCTTTCTGCTTTACATTTCTCTCCTATGAAGTTTGATGTTTTATGTAGGAGAATGGAGCGATGAAGTAGGAGTTGATCGAGACATTTGGAGTAAGCGATAACTGACGTTTTGCAAATGAGGGATTTTTAGCTGAAACATTTCATCTGATATTCGGTTCATTCTTAACAGTTCAGCAGCTAAAAAAGAGCTAGCGAAAAAGTATTTGTTCTCACATTGTTCAGTTATACGTATCAAGTTTGGATCTTGTTCATTGAGTTTTAATAATTGTTTTTGAATTTTATGAAATTTGCCTGCTATGGGACTATATATCACTGCAGTGGCAATATAACTGTTTATTACTTTGATTAGCTGTAAAGTGGCTGGTTGATTTGCTTTTTTCCAAAAGGATTACCATGGTTGTAGACACGAAATTTGAATTGCTTCCATTTCTTGCAAAGCATCAAAAATTTAAAGCGAAAGTACACTGACGTTTTTCTCAGAAAAGTTTCAAAAAGAAGTTCATTATAAAGCGAATTGTCTACTTTTTGAGGATGTATTTCATTAAAAGCAAAGGTTCATGTGTTTGGGCTTGTTTACTTTAAATCAAAGGCATAGCAGTGTGACATATTTTGATGTATCTCTCTAGTCAAACTCCTCGCCCGACACTATGTGGTGTGAATCGTAGAGTAGTTTAACTTAAATCAAAAATTTCGAAGTGTACTATGCTGCAAAGCTACAGTTATTAGAAAGACTTAGTTAGTAGTAAAATACTATTGTGGTAGTTTTGCTGTTTCAGCTGAGCATGTTTAGGTAGATTACAACCCTGATGAAATTTGTGAAATGATCGAGACAGCTAGGGTGTTGTTCTCGAGTGAGGGTGCACTGATTGATGTTTCAATACCGGTGATCGTAGTCGGTGATATTCATGGGCAGGTAACATATATCTAAAATGTTAGTTATTAAACCTCAAGAAATATTATTCTTGATGTGTCAGTTGAGATTCTTCGTTGGGACATGCATAGTGTCACCTTCAGTATGTGGATTTGCAACGGATTTTTGCGGCAGTTGGACAACCAGGTCGAACGCGTTTTTTGTTTCTTGGTGATTATGTTGATCGTGGACCGCAGTCTCTCGAATGTATCTGTTCGCTTGTCGCCTGGAAAATTGCATATCCAAAAAGAGTATAGGTTTTCAAAATTGTTCATATTTCCGCGAAATTCGGTCTTATAAACAAAATCGATGAAAAATGCGCTATCATTTGGAGAGGCAAAAATGCAACAAAAGCTGATATTGAAATTAGTAAATTGGTTAAAACAAGAGGATTGTAAATGTAAAGATAAGAAGAAAGGTACATGCTCGAAAGTTACAAGGCAAGCTCCAAAGATTATATTTATTTAAGATATTTTTACTTCGTGGCAATCATGAATTTGCATCCGTGAATCGAGAATACGGTTTTTATGATGAACTAGCAGCAAGATTTAGCGTTGGTAAGTATTGCTTCAATTTCTCAGAATAATTCAAAGAAGCATACTGATGAAAGATAAAGTCCATCAAACTGTAATGATTTTTTCTGGCAGGAAATATTCTTCCAAAATTAGTTGAGAAAAATAAAATCAAAAATATACGAGCTAAAAAATGTGGGTAATGTGTCATCAATTTTTACAAATATTTCCGAATGTTTAATATCGGCCAAGCTGGCTGGCATGGCTACACTATACGCTCTTACAGATTGCACATTTTATCTTATTAATCAATTTATCAACTTTTTTAATTTTAGGCCAAGCAATGCGCCTATGGAAAGAATTCAACGATCTATTCTCAATTTTTCCCTTTTCTGCTTTAATAAAAAATAAAATACTTTGCATGCACGGTGGTCTCAGTCCACATCTTGAATCGCTGAATGATATTCGTAATGTAAATTGAAACATACTTTATATTCTTTCAAATAATTCAATCGATTAGCAATTTATGGTCTTATTATGGATATCTTTGAACAAATACATTGTTTAGATTGTCAAAATCATAGAATTAATTAAATGGAAAATTCTCTTGACCATTTGATAACTCATTCTCAATGAATGTTCATAGATATCCCAAAATATTTCTTCTCTCTCATTATCATTCATCTGATTCCTTTCATTACTTTTCTAATTTAGCTTTCTAAAAGAAAGTAATTTAGTTATAAGGCAACCTCTTGCTTCAATTATTGAAACTACTTCATTTTCTTCCTTACTGAAAGTTTTGACAATCTCTTTTAGTGTAATATATTAGTACTACAGTTCTTGTTTCTTGCTAGATTGTAGATTAACTGATTTAAATTGCATACTTATCCGATTGAAAATTAAATTGGTCCAAAACGAAGTTTTAGAATTTTCGTCCAGAAATAAAAGTTTCCTCATTTGTTTTTTCTTAAAAAATAGTAAATCGATTCCTTGCAAACTCCTATGAGTTTATAAATGGTTTCAGATTAAAATGCCAGTGATGGAAGTGTTCCCAGACACACTAGAACAGGATTTAGTCTGGTCGGATCCGAAATTAGACATTAAAGGTTACGAGCCCAATAAACTGCGTAATGTGAGCGTTGTATTTGGTGAAGATATTGTACATAAAACATGCAAACGTTTGAGCCTGGATCTTATCATACGGGCACATCAGGTTTTACACTGCTCTATTGACTTTGAATTTGAAATAATTTGATTGTATTATAGCTTTTTCTCGCATTAGATCACTAAGAAAAATGAGCCAGAAGAAATATTTAAGCAGGTAATGGTTAGGCCCATTTTTAATTATTTCATATCAGTCGAATATTGCAAATCTTTTTTAACCGACTAATGTTTTTTTGTTTGTTTTTTTAAATGTTCAATTTACAGGTGATGGAAAATGGATACGGATTTTTCGCTGGCCGTAAACTAGTTACAATATTTTCGGCACCGTTATATGCAGAACTCGTAAGCTTCTTTCCATATTATGCATAAAATAGCGGAACATGGAAGAAAATGGACTTATAATTTTTAAGTCAAATAAGTTACTCTCATTGACAAAATCAGTGCAAAAGTCCTTATCGAGCAGCAGTGATGCATGCATGCATGCATGCATGTAAGCATTGAACTGTAATGTTACACAATCCATTCCTTATCCCGTCGAGATGAATGGAAAATTTATTGTTGAGTGATGGGATATGCCATACTTTTTCAGCTAAATTAAGATTTTCTTTTTGGAAATAGAATGAAAACAATTTGTTATTGTTATGTGTGAAAAAGGGAATGAGAAAACGGAAGGAGAGATGAAGGTTGATATATGTATAGTTCAGGTTTAATTAAGGCTCAGTTAAGCGCAAATTATTGAAATTAATCATTCATTCAAAGCCGATGGTACAGTCTGATTTGCTTTTGACATAAAATGCTGAAACATCAATAATAAAAAACAAAAGATTATTTCAAAATTTCTTTTGAAAGTTAAATAGAAGTTTTCGGTGTAATTATGGGTGTTTAGATGAATCAAAAAATTCTGAATTACATGATTTGCTTCACTTTTCTTTTACCAAAACATTTCGACTAATTTTTTTTTTGAATCATGTAAACAATGCGGTATTCATTAGTAGGATGAACTCATATATGGTATTTTATTTTTGATAATATAAATGGTTCTAATCAACTTATAGCAACGAGCTAATTTTGTGAATAAAAAAATCGGACTTAAAAAAATGTGAAGGCCAAATTTTTAGTCCTGCGGAACTGCCGCACAACAAAGAGCTAAGGAAATCATATCCGTTGACTGAATATTATACGCAAAATATAAAAATTGTTGATGGTCCTTTATATCAGAATCATTTCAAATTCACTAAAACAGAACCTGTTCTATGCTTGAACTTTCTTCAGAAATTCTTGCTTTCTTCAGGAATTCTTGAACTTTCCTCAAAAATTCAAATCAGAAATTTCCAACTTTCTGGGAGGATAAAAGAACAATCTCTACAATTCTCGAATGTTTATGCAAAAAATCTTTATGGCAACAAACTTTTTTGAACTTAAGAGCACGAAGCATTTTGAGAAAATTTCTTTTAAGCCACTAACTGGTCATTTTAGAATAACAAAGGTGCAGTTATACGTATCAGTGCAGAAATGGTAATCAGTTATGTAATATTGAATCCTGTATCACAAACAACTGCTGGTAAGGACAATTTTCAACGTTCCTTCAAGGACGATCAAAGATCCTACCGTATGGATGAAATGAATAATGCTGCAATACTACCACAGCTTCAATAATATCAAAAAGATTTAAAGGATGCGGTGATAACTGTTAGAATATGATAATAAAAACAAACAAGCCTTAAAATATGTGTGCAACTAACGTTGTATAGTAAAGTATGATGGACTTCATAGCGCATTTCAGTTTGCCATTTGGTTGACCATTACATAGATCTGAAACAGAGTGAAAAAGAAACTTTGTCTTAGACATCTGATCTTACTTGAACCATTACCGCCAATAAACCCGAATCTCTTTTACATCTGATCTTACTTGAACTATTACCACCAATAGACCCGAATCTCCTTTACATCTCATTTTACTTGAACTATTATCGCCAATAGACCCGAATCTCCTTTACATCTGATTTTACTTGAACTATTACCGCCAATAGACCCGAATCTCCTTTACATCTGATCTTACTTGAACTAGACCCGAATCTCCTTTCTCTATATCAAAACCGTTTGAGGTCATTTCAGGTAATCTCTGTGCGAATGTGATTTCTGCGCCCTTAATTGTGCTTTATTACAACTTCAGTCTATATCTTTAGCATTTTAAGTTTGCCTGTTCATGATGTCTTAAATTATTCGAATTTCTTTTATATTCAGAAATTCTTTTAATCATATTCATTTTAAACGGAAACAAACTCTCTCATCAAAGTACTGTAATTCTATGTTACTTTACGAATATTCTACCTAAACAATTTTAACTTTTTTGCTATTTTAAATTGTGAGAATGATTGAAATATTTAGGAAAGTACAGTAATTAACCAAAGATGGAAATAAATAATTATTTGTTTGCATATAATTCGATGAAAAAAAAGGAGTGAAAGGAAATCAAATTAAAAGAAGAATGTGAAATTTCATTTGAAAAGGTTTACTCATAGCAATTATTTATTTATTGTTTCTTCATTATATTGCATGTTAATTCATCGCTATTGTTATAATAATGACTTTTTTTTACAGATTTCTTTCAGAATTGTGAAATAATTATAGTTTTGTAGGAAAAGAGAAATGGATGCCTTATGATTTTAATTTAAAAAGAGAGAAGAAGACAAAAAAGAAATTTTGCCAGTGAATTTAATTCTTTTTAGAAAAAATCAGAATAATGATATAGTGAGTAGTGGCTTTTTGACATTTTCTTCCAACTTTTGAAGTGGATAAGTATTTTTTTTTCCAGCCAAGACACAAACAAATTTTTCTTTCCCCTTTAAACCATGTGTGTGAGCGATTTTCAAGGAATTATTTAGAACACTTTAGGGATCCAAAGTTATTAGTCATTTGTTATTTATTACTTTTTGGACGCTTCTAAATGATTTGTAACAAATACCGGGAATGGCAAGCCTTTCCAAGTGAACATTCGGATGCACTAGGCCTTCTCATAAGCATGGCCTAGTATCCCCCGGTTCTTGTCAGAGTTTTTTAATCTCTTTAGGCCATCTATTACAATCTATTAGTTATCAATGAAAATAAACAAGTTTTTGAATGATTGAAATGCTCCTACTTTGCTCAGGCGTTATTTGCTTCATTGACATCGAAACTTCCATGGAGGAAATCACTGCTAAAGTTCTCAAATATCGATTTCTCCTGGTAAAGAGCGGCAATGACTGATGTACCATTTAGTTTTTCAGTATTTCATTATTTGTCCTATAAGAGTGAAGTCATTTCTCGAGACAACTCTTTCTCTCACTCCCAATGTGTCGATGTCACAACACTGTCATAAAATTTTTGACGCTTTTAAGCTATTCTCCAACTTCAGTGACAAATCTATGATCAATTGAATACTGCTCAGCTGCTCATGAATATTCACATCGTATTTAGCCACTTCCTTCTAGTGCTTCTGATCTGCAAGCGACAGATTGGTTACTTCCTGAATCTAATGCCCATTACCTTCCAGCTATCGCAATATCAATACTTATACTTTGCTAAGAGCATTTTAGTATATGAAATACCAGTGTCTATTTCCCAGTTACTCTATTTCAAGACTAAAAAGACTAAAAAGTTAGAAAGACTGAAAAAAAGTTCAAGATTAAAAAGTTAGTAAAACCATTATAGCTTCTTTAAGGTAATACAAAATTCAGCGTGATAAAAGTTAAATTTCTCATTTAAATTTGCATGTGACAGGAAGCCAAACATGTCTATTCTACTAGCTTTCGAACTGAGTAATTTCAGAAGAAGTAGAAGGTTGCTATTGATTGATAAATAGTAAACGCGAAGGTACATTCTTTCTTAGATACTACTACTTATACTAATCCTATCGCTCAAGATGACTCACTATCTCACTTACCTGAAAATCTCTCTTCCTTCTGAGAGACTCGTCATGATATATCTTGCTTACTCACCCGTGAAAGTTATGAAATAGTCAAACGATAGATAATTATTAGAAGAATTGATAGGTGACCGAAAGAGGAAAACAGAGGAATAAGAAAAACTCGTGTAAGCTTCATAGAATCAGAAGATTTCTACAGCAAAATCAATCTTCCCGAATTTAATTAAAAAATCAAATTTTTGAATTTCATCCTTTCGAGATCTAATTTCTGGCGAGCTGATGAGAAATAAAGATTTTATAAATGTTTAAATGAAAGAAGTGCATAAATTAAAGTAATGCGAATGTTTTTATTGATCCCTTCAACTCTTAAATATGTTATCATCTTAAGGGATATTAGCAAATCCTCCTCATCTATCTGCCCTGAAATCATTAAATTTTAATTTTTGGATAAAATTAGAAACTTATTGCTACTTAAATGAAAATGTTATTCAATGAAAAGAATCATTGAATATATACTTGAAAATAGAAGGTAAGTTGAATTGATTGATTTGATTGGAAGAACCAAGAATTAATTATTCATATAGCATATCTAGTAGAGTTAGAACTAGAAATTGAAACTTGAAGATATTTCAGTCCCATGTTCCTAATGAATCAAATGATTCATTTCCAGAATGAAAATGACATTAAATCTCTTTCCATATACCGTATTCCATTAGTCAATCATATAAAAGATTTCTTTACTATTTGATTATTATATGAAATGCATATGTGTTCACTTCAATGACAGCAGCATATACTAATGCTGGAAGGAAGCCAGATGTCAATGGTTTTTTGTGTGAAATCAGTCTAAATCAATCGGCCAAGCATTTAAGCAAAAGACAAGTAAGCAGTTTAAGTGTTCACCCAAGGAATAGAGAGAGGAATAGAGGGTCAGGACTATTGCTTTGTCATTTATATAAACAGAGAAGGGAAGTAAGTATTCCAACCAGTGTCATCCTATCAGAAGTATTCCATGTTCTGTTAATGTCGTGGACTTCTTGGATAATTGCACATTTGTTTGCAAAATATTCGAACATATCATATGGTTGACAGACAAGCGTAGATTAGATATATGTCAAGATAAGATTCAGTTATGCTTTTTATGGGTCACATATGTTATTCAGCTTGCAGCCGTGTAACCAACAACATTGTCACATTGGGAACCAATGCGCAGTCCTTACTTTAATATTAATGAACTTTTCAATTTTAACTATTTTCATTTGGTAAGCTTTTCAAGTTCTCATTCTCACTTAAACCATTCATCCCTTTTGATTAGTTTGCTTAATTAGTTTTACAATGTGAATCCGTTATGCACAATTATCTACCATATCTCCCACAGTGAAACCGTATTCAATCACTCTTCCTCGATCGGCCAAAGGTATTGTTTTACAGGGTTCACGGATGTTTTTGATCGCAGGTTAGGAACTTCATCTTTCTTCATTTGTTCAATATTCAAGTAAGAGTGAATGATCTTAGTATATATGTAACATATTGAGCAAATGAAATGGTATGTTTCAGTTTCTCAATTATGTTACAAGAACCAGAAAGCTAGGAGGAGGTATGACTGCTTCCCGAATATTGTCTTTTCTCAAATATAAATGAAAAATTCATTTCTAAACTATTTTTTGTTTCAGTTGTCAGGAATTCTAACTCATGGACAGGAAGATTTTTGAGTTAGTAAGCTTCTCTTCAATCTCTATTATTTTCCTGGTATTTGCCGGGAAAAGAATTATGAAAAGCACCTCTTGATGTTTTCCTCCTTTTTATGCAAAAATAAAACATAAAAATCTATTTTTCCAGCAATTCTTCATATGTTTAAAAATAAAATCTTTAAAAATACCTCTCAAGAGACAAGAAGTATTTTCACGTAGAAGTTCCTGAAATTTCAATGTTTTCCTGTTTTAATTTATATCTTCAATAAAATAGTCAAGGCTTATGATTTCTTGCCATTCTATGAATTTAGACAAAACTTTCTAGAACTTTTTTCTAGAATTGAATTAATGAAATACTCAAAATGATTATCAAAATGATTTTGATGTCGCCAGAAAATAAGCTTTTCTTTATCAAAAATCGCTCATTCTGAAACATAATTAGCTGTATCATTGGGCATTAAAAATACTTCTCAGAAGACAAGAAATACATTCACGTAAATTACTGAATAAAGATGACCATTGTAAAATGCAATTATCAGAATTGCCAGAGAAATAAGGGATCTCTTAAGAAGTACGTATAATTAGCTAATAGCAATCGATCATACTCATTTTATCTTTTCTAATCCTAATCAAATCATGAAAATTTTCAATCCGTTCAAAGGTTTGCTGAATCGTTTTTAACTATTCAAGATAAAAAGTTGTAGAAATTATCATAGGATTTATTAAGATTTTGCCATTACCATCAGAGTCACTATCAGTAAGAATTAATAGTGATATGGGATATTAAAAAAATGGTTATTCATGCTACATGAAATGTAAGCTCACTCGATCATCGTCCTTTTCACAGTTTAAACTTTTATAAACCAAGTGAGACATTTCTTGAAAATAATCATCATCTGAATTTGTTCTACATTTCTTGAACTTCTTTGACTTCTCAACTACTTCTTTCTTTAGGGAGAAAATAACTTCATTTGGAATATTAACTTATAAATAATTCGATATATAATGAGATGGATAGAAAGGTATCATCATAGTTTATGTTTCCATTTGATTAAGTTTCTTATATGAGTACTAAAATAATATATAAACAGAGTTCAGACGTTGATCAGATCCAATTTTGTTGCGAGGACTTTTGAAGCGTTTCATGCTGAATCAGTTTGCAAATATAAAAATTATCTTGTCTGTCGATATTAAGCTTATAACTTGAGAATTATATGCTTATGAATTGAGAAACATGGTCGAGGGATAACAAAGAAAAAAAGGAAAAAAAGAATGGCAAGATCAGAGTCCTCTCCGGGAAATAATGTGGCAAGATCAGAGTCCTCTCCGGGAAATAATGTGGCAAGATCACAGTCCTCTCCGGGAAGTAATGTTCCACTATATTAAATTCAGTTTACGTTGAAAAATAAAATGCAAATGTATTTTTAAGAAGTATTTTCATTGAATCCAATTTATCATTTGATAACGCGGATATCACAAACACATAGCAGATTTGTTGAAATGTTATCAGTGATAATGATAAGGTTAAGAATTTCCAAAATAAAGCTGAAAATGATTTAATTATTGAAGTGTTCGTCTAAAGAATATTGCTGAAGATAATTTAGATAGATTATATTGGAAAATCAATATGCAAAGCAATGAAAATCAGGTTTGTAGGATTCTTGGGTTGATTTTGATGAGAAAGTGAAGAGTGCAGTATGAAATTTGAGCATTGTAATCATCCTGAAGAATGCCGGGAACATAACTTTTGCATAGCTTACTTATGATAATTTTCACTAATTGAAAAATTTTTAATTATGAGATATATAAATGTGTTACGGATAAGTCTTATAGTTAAGAACAATGTTATCAATTGATTAACTAAGGTAATACAGTATTCATTCCATATTAAAGTAGTAATATTTAAGAAAGCTAAAATTTACATACTGATCTCTAACATTATTGTTTTTCTTTTTAATTTCATCCTTATGTATAAAATTCATTTCTACTTTATGTCATGTCTATGAAGAGATGAAAATTGATAATTGATAAGCATTAGCTTTCAGTAATCTGCAAGAAGCAACATATCGTTGTAATAATAATTCAGTTCAAAATCCAATAATGTTTTCATTATTGCGTCTCTCCCTCTCTCTCTCTCTCTCTCTCTCTCTCC